CTCTCTCTCTCCCTTTCCCCCTCCCTCCTCTCTTTCTATGTCTCTCTCTTTCTTTCTCTCTCTCTCTCTCTCTCTCTCTCTCTCTCTCTCTCTCTCTCTCTCTCTCTCTCTCTCTCTCTCTCTCTTCTCTCTCTCTCTCTCTCTCTGCTCACATGACAGCTAGACATATTCTATCTCTACTCTCTCTCTCCGCTCTCTCTCTCTCTATATATGTCTCTCTCTCTTTCCCTCTCTTTTTTCTACCTTGCTCTTTCTCTTTCTCTTGTTCTCTCCCCACTCTCTCTCTCTCTTGTTTCCCCACTCTCTCCCTCTTTCTCTTTCTCTCTCACTCTCTTTCTTTCTACCTTTCTCTCTTTCTCTTGCTCTCTCTCTCTCTCTCTCTCTCTCTCTCTCTCTCTCTCTCTCTCTATCTATCTCTCTCTCTCTCTCTCTCTCTCTCTCTCTCTCTCTCTCTCTCTCTCTCTCTCTCTCTCTCTCTCTCTCTCTCTCTCTCTCCATTTTTTTTTTTTGTAACACCTTTATTAATATATGTAGATCAATTGAGTTGGGTGTTCGTTACATTAGCGCGCTAAGGAAACCTTTGGCACGGTTATCCATCTTAAAGCTAAACCCAACATACACACAAGGTTATAAACACTTTTTAATTACATACAATATCGCGTCAAACAAGGGAAAGATTATACTGAAGTCACCAATGATGTGCCATCAGTTCGCTTGCTGAGTATTGTGTCTGTACTCTTGCATCTGCAACGAAGGAATTCCAAAGTCGGGCAGTTCTGGAGAATAAAGTCCGCTGGTGTTGGCTGGTGTTGGACCACGGAACACCCACTGCATCCTCGCTCGAGATGACTGTTCTTGTCGGTCTGAGCGATCGGTGCCGCGGAAGACGAAGCCCCTGCAGACGAGGAACTCTGCATTTGGATCTTGTGCATCACTGTAAGTGCTGCCACATCTCTTCGATGTTGCATTTTGATTGAAGAATTTTTTGATGTGGTCGGCAATAATTATCTCAAATACTTTGCTTAATATGGAAAGCGGAGTAATTGCTCTGTAATTCTTTGGATCCAACTTGCTACACTTCTTGTGCACAGTAACTACATGTGCATGTTTCCAGATCCTGGGCCACGTCTTTTCTTTCAAACAACAGTTGAAAACCATTGTAAGTGGAGTTGCAAGTTCAACTGCACATTTTTTTCAGGAAGAATGGGCTGACATCATCAGGACCAACTGCCCAGTTAGTGTCAAGATTTTCCAGGAATATCTTCACTCTGTTGGCTTAGATGTGGAGAGTATGCAGAGATGTTTTTGTAATTTGCCTTGGGAGAGGCGGTACTTTTAAAGGGATGTCCACTTGCATTTTTGGACTGAATTACCTAGCTAAGAGATCAGCTTTCTGGGCAGATGTGACAGCATAACTACTGTCAACGTCTTGGAGAGGAGGAATGGTGTCTTGTTTTAATTGTCCCTGTTTTTCTTTAACTAGGGACCACCATTGTTTGGATCCAACATTGGCCCCTCTCATGCATGTTTGGATGTCCCTTTCCCAACGACTGATTGCCCATTGGGATGTTTCTCTCGTATGTCGACATGCTTCTCGGTGTAAAGTTTTGTTATGACCGGAAGGATGTTGCTTAAGCCTTCTCAAAGCCTTGAACTTAATATCTGAAGCAAGCTGGCATCTACAGCCAAACCATGGCTGGTCAGTTGGTCTTACTGTGTAAGAGTGGTGAGAAACATACTCTCTCCGAAGGGATAAGAAATATTGTGTCAACTACTCAATCTGGGCATTGGCTTCTCCAGTATTGCCCCCCGGTCAGCGTGCCTCCAGTTCCAAATTTCTCGTTCATAAGATTCTTGAGTATGTGGCTTTATATTTACATGTGTCGGAACCGCAATGTGATCTGAAGATCCGATGGTTTGTAGAGACTTACAAATGACTGCCTCGCCAAGGTCACTGAGGACTGGATCAAGGGAGTCTCCAAGGATATGTGTAGGAAAGTCTACATGATTTTGAAGACCATGAACTCCTATAAGATCATCAAATGCATGCATGACAAGATGTTGGTTGAGGTCTCCAACAATTACGGTATTCTGACAGTTCAGTTCAGCAGCATGAACACGGCAGGAATCCTGTGAATGGCCTTTTCTGTGACAAACTTCACAGATTAATAGTTTATTATGGCCAATCAGTTTTTGGCCAGATCTGGAATTACAATCACCTTTAGGATGATAAGTTTTGCAGATCTGGCAAAAGTTGTTAAAACTGCTATTGTTTTTGTTGCTGGGTTGCTGTTGGTTGGGTTTCCTTGTGGGGCCTTTTGGGGGCCTTTGTGGGACGCCCCTTGGGTTAGCTGAGGCAGGACCACTCTCCCTCCCTGCAGCAGTTGTTCCTTGCGGAGGGTTAGAGTGGGAAACGGATGGTGGCTGAACGTTTCCTGAGCAGGACTTCAGAGAGTGAGGGTTCCCTGATTTTCACCAGTTACATGAAGCAGTGTGTGCAGCTATATGTTGCTGCCACTCTTCGTCGATTAACTGAGGGCGTGCTGTTGCAGCAATAGATCGAACCTC